TTTTTTTTTTTTTTTCTTAGCCTCGCCTTTCAGTACAGACTCCTTCCTTTGTTTCCCAAATTTTCTTTTAATGTTGAAGTGCCTGCAGGCTGGGACTGTGGGGAAGAGTGTTTTTGGGGGTGTGCAGAGAGGGCACTGGAGGAGCAACTTGCTGTGTCTGCCCCTTTCCTGACTTCATGGGGATGAGGATAGAACCTTCCAAGGTCAGCTCACGTTGCTGTGACTGATTCCCTACCCTCTGCCTCCCTGGGTAATAGAGACACTCCCATTACACCATCCTACCTTTGCAGTTTTAACGTGTTAACAGATCCGCCTTTAGAGGCCATTTTCCCATGAGGCTTTGTAGGAGTGCACTCTCAACTCAACCCAGGGGTCCTGGTTTTCTTTCCTTTCCTTTCCTTTCCTTTCCTTTCCTTTCCTTTCCTTTCCTTTCCTTTCCTTTCCTCTCCTTTCTTTTCCTTTCCTTTTTTAAGTTTATTTATTTTGAGAGAGAAAGACAGAGGCAGAGAGACAGCGAGAGAGAGAATCCCAAGCAGGCTCTACACCATCAGTGCAGTCTGATGTGGGGCTCAAATCCATGAACCGTGAGATCATGACCTAAGCCAAAATCAAGAACCGGAAACTTGGGGCGCTTGGGTGACTCAGTTGGTTAAGTGTCCAGCTTCGGCTCAGGTCATGATCTTGCAGTTCATGAGTTGGAGTCCCACGTCGGGCTCTGTGCTGACAGCTCAGAGCCTGGAGTCTTCTTCAGAGTCTGTCTGTCTGTCTCTCTCTCTGCCCCTCTCTACTCTTTTCTGCCTCTCCCCTACTCTTTCTATCTAAAATAAATTAAAAAATTTTTTAAATTAAAAAAAAAAAGGAGTCAGACGCTCAACCTACTGAGCCACCCAGGTGCCCCCAGGTTCCTGGTTTTCTGCAGCTGCTTCCATCATCATGCCCACCTCCCCTGCCTCTGCTCCTACTTTCCACCTCGTGAGAGCGCCTTTCATACCCTGACCTCAATGATACCTCTTTCTAGACCTTGCGGTGAGAGATGGGAATTAAAGCCCTCCCATGTGGCTTCTGCTGGGCCTTAGGGTGAGCCTCTCTCCAGGGAGGAAGAGAGAAAGGTGGGATGAGACTTAGGCATTTATAAGTCTTAAGGAGATCATAGATCTTAAGGAGGTCTCAGAGCCTTAGAATGCAGGAATGGTGAATCCAGGGTGCTCTTGGAGAGCTGGGATAAAGTTGGGCTCAGCTTAGGCATCCGGAGCTGCTCATAGGGGGAAGCAAATCCCACTCTTCACCCTGACCTTGGATGATTCAAGGGCCCAGGCTCCTTAGGGCCATATGTGACCGAGAAGAATAAGCCCGAGGGAGAATTTGTAGGATAATGAATTCATGGGACAGAATTTTTTGGGTAAACGAGTGTTTGAGCTTAGAGATTCCAATTCTATGGGAGAGGATTTTGTGTGGTGGGAGGCTGATAGGTGAGAAAACTTTTGAATGTTCTAATAGCTACTGTGAAGAGGTATCTCTTTTGAAATGTCCACATTTTGTTGGATTTCTGTTACCACCTGTTTTAAAGCTGAATCTATACTGAAAATATTTTTTATTAATCTGGTATGTTTTAATCATAAGTGTTTGATTTGAAATAAGATATACCCAGTTGCAGAAATAGAAAATGAATTTACTTGATTTCAGGTTAAAACAAATACATATTGCCATCTTCTGTAAAT